ATGCTGTGACCTACCTCCCAGGGCTCAGAAGTGCCCAGAAGCTAAAGCCAGGAGGCGCTCTAACATCTACCGCGCTCCGGAAGAACTGATTTTTAGGAAAATAAATCAGCAAACAACCTGTTGCTGCAGAAAGCCGCCACGGTCCAGGCCAGGGCCACTGCAGCCCGGGCGCCTGTATCTACCTCACGGTCCTGCTACCCACGCCCAAGCAGTCGACGGGAAACCTGGAGCCCGCGCGCCTAGAAACGCTGCAACTAGGCTCCTGCACTCAGTCCAAGATCCCGAAGCAGTTTCCTGGCGCCCGACCGCCCTTCGGAGCAACAATTCAGCAGCCCAACTGCGGAGCCGCATTTCTGCCAATCAGCGTGCGCCGTTCCCCGAGCCCGGCTACTCCCGCTGAAACTGAGGCTCCCAGCCAATCCGAGAGCCCCGGAGCCGTCCGCCTGCCTACCAGCAGGGGGGCGTGGCGTCTCATTGTAGCCAATGAGAACGACATCCTTCCGGGAGCACGCGCGCGTGGGAGGCGGCGCCTCAGCAAGATGGCGGCGAGCAGCCTGCGAGGGGCTGTTGCAGCGGCCAGCACCTCCGTGAAGCCCATTTTCAGTCGGGACATGAACGAGGCCAAGCGGAGAGTGCGCGAGCTCTACCGCGCCTGGTATCGGGAGGTGCCAAACACTGGTGAGAGGCAGCGGCGCAGGCGGGGCCCCGGATGCAGCTGCCCAAGGTCTCACGACCGAGCCGAGGTCACTAGCTTGGGCCGAGGCGACTGCGGGTGCTTCAGGGGAAGAGGGTCACTCGAGCTAAGGTGGACCCGACCTGAAGGCAGCGCCGAGGTCAGACCAGTGGTTCCCAGCATCCTACAGAGGTCCCAGGCGCGCTCGGCGCTCTGGTGTCCTGTCTCCTAGTTCTTCCCGAGGCCTAGAGGGAGAGCAGGGACTGTCGGTGACAGACTCATTATGCAGATGAGGCACCTGAGGGCACCAGAGGCCAAGCGAAGCGTTCTGGCGCGGAACCCAGAGTCAACTCTAGTTCCAAAAGGCAGTTTCAGACACCCATTGGGTTTTATAAACGAAGTGGCCATAGGATTCGGGCAGTCATCCAGTTCCTGTCACCACCAGAAAGTGAACCAGAGAAGGGAAGTGATTTTCCCAAGGTCGTCCGGTAAGCCAGCGACTCCTTTTCCAGTCTCTTTAGGCTAGATGGCTTCCTTGCCCTCCAGTCTCCCAAGACTTGCTGGTCTCCCCATTTCTACCGCAGAACCCCTTCCTTCGCCCAGATGGCAGAGATTCAGTCCGTTTAGCTGAAGGATTAGTATGTAAACTCCCTGTGTGCAGAGCTTGTTTTCTTATCTTGATTTCCCCCGGCTGCCCACTTTATTTTATCCAATAAAGACTGGGGAAAATCCCACCTAAACTTCCAGGGGTAGTACAACTGTGGGACTGTCCATGCTTTGTTATCTTGTTGTTCTTCCCTGCTAGTCTGAGGGGTAAGGCATGTTTGAGTGAGTTGGGAGCATTGTAGCACTCTCAGAGCTGACACTTCCCTATCTATGAGAAGCAGCAGAATGTGGAGATTAGAATAAGCCTGCACTCATCTCCAGGCCCTGCCCTTTAGTAGCTTTGTGACCTTGGGCAAGTTATTTCATCTGTGTTTCAGTTTTCTCATCTATAAAATGGGGGTACTGATAGTATCTTCGGAGAGTTACTGTGTTAGGTAGGTTAATATATCCAAAGTGCTTAGAACAGGGCCTGACACTTGGTTAACACTTATTAAGTTATTGGCTACTATTGTTTTTATAGGGCTTACCCTAGAAGGAGCTTCCATGTAGAGCCCAGTTTTTTAATGTGGGAACTGTGCTCCACAGTCCCTGTCCTCAGACTGACTTTTTGAGAGATTGCTAGTGACCTTAATTTAAACCCACCTGAAAGAGAGGAACTAAGGAGGACATGACGTGGCTGAGTTGAAGATGGAACCCAGGTATTGCAAGTGTCAGGACCCAGCTCTTTCTGAATCATCCCTTCCCAGGATCTTCCTTCAAATGCTGTTTGGAGAGAGAATCCCAGAGTCAGAAGGGGCCTGAGAGGGGAAAAAGAAGGTAGGGTTAAGGAGCCTAGAAAGCAGGGTCAGAATGGGGGGCAGGGAGTGGTCAAGGGAGCAAAGGTCAGACCTATAGGGAAGGTCAGTAATCTGTAGCTGGTCAGTTACTTAGATGCTACACTGTCATGCATCACTGGAACTCCAGCTAAATAATCAAATCAAGGATTAGGAGTAAGTAATAGAATTGATGATGATTAACATTTATTGAAATGTTTACATATGGCCCAGAACTATGCTAAAGGCTTTACATTGCCTTATTTTAAGTCAGGCTTTGTTTCCTGCCTTACAGATGAGAAAACTGAGGCACACAGACTTGTCTGGGGTCACATTATCAATGAGTGGAAGAGCCAGTTTTCAGACCCTGATTATTCAACTCTAATATGTGGCTCTTGGAGCTTGGGGTATATATAGCTCAGTAGTAGAGTGTGA